TCCAGATGTATTTCTGCAGCTGCAGGCACAATTCACCTTTTGTGCACACTCCCGCCAGATTTATAAACAATCACGGGCAGACAACGCTATCCAGCCTCCTGCATTTTCTGAATGGAGGGCTGCTGTAATTTACTAGAAATCTGTCTCATTAAATTATGTGCATAATAAAATATACAGAAATAATCTAAAGGATCTGTCTAGACCAGCAAATTAATTTCCAATAGTAACTGTATTTAAAAAAAAAAAATCAAGTTTAAGTAAGCTTAGTCTATTCTTGTAACTTATTGATCCTGAAAATTAAGACATTATCTTCGTGCACTGAATCAACAAATTTTTTAAGAGCATAACTGAAAGAAATGGTAAGCCACATTTGGCACATTCTAATTGCTTACTGCTCTCATGTAACTTGCTATTACAAGCCTTTAAGAATACAAAGTAAGTAATTACATCATCATACATTCTTCTGCATAGTAACTATTAAGAAGAATTCAAGGATTGAGATTATGTATTCTTTCATTCCAAGTTCTATAGTGGTCTATTCCATAAAATAATAAAAACCACAAAAGAATCGATATAACGCATAACCTATTTTTTTTGCAGCAGGAAACATATCAAAGTCCCACATCTTCCAAAGTGGCAGATACAGGGTGACCAACTTCTTCATTGCTCTCGCTTTCCAATTTATTCAGCTAAGTGAAGAGGCCCCTGTGATATATTCAAACTCAGCAAAAACATTCAAGATGTTGAGCACTCCATATTTAATGCATATTCTTTGCATGCCTGATTTTGTGCATTTCTTCTAAAAAATGTAAGAGAACCAAACATTTTAGTTATTTCACAGAGAACAGACTAAACACTAAGCATTTTAAAACATCATATTAGCGTCAAATACAGACATTTCTTATCAGATATCTTCATGACTCAGGTGACAAAACAGATACTGAGTGAAGGACTGGAAAAAAACGCCAACTTGTAAACGAAGTTCTCGTTATCAAGTAGCATGATGTAACGTTGCATTGTTCAAGGACAAGTTACTTCAAATACCAAAGCTAATGAATTATCTGCTTAAAGATTCAGTATACTTGCATATGAATCTTGCTTTCAAACAACAACAACAAAAAAATAATCTGACTGGCACTACAAACAGTGATGTAAAAATATAGCCTTATCAAAGCGAAAAAAACTGATTGGTATGTTTTCCAGCTAACACTAAAATAACAGAAAGCTAAGCTTTCCACCTTTGTTCTAGGCCAGCATGTGTGAAGTTCACACAGTAGAATTCACACGAAGAAAGACTGAAAGAAATACCAGTTTCAATCATAAGACCTGCCAGCTTAAGCAAGTTCATATCACAGAAAGCAGTAACAGTATTAAAATTGATTTTAAAAAATCAAGTGAAAATTTCCCTCCATGATCAGTTATCAAATCAAGTACATTTGCATAGGTGTTAGCAAACAACTAACTACATGCACCACACTGGTTTTCAGTATTGCATCAACTGAAACCTTTAACCTATCTAAGTCTTCGACTACTTGCAGGCATAGAGTTTGTTGTCTAATCATCATTTTCTATCTTGAACTCTTGTCTTCTGTTTATAAGATTATATTGACATGGCTGAAGAACTAGTTTTGGAGAAAAATGGCATATTTATTCCTGGACAGCAGATGTCTCAGCGTTTCCTTTCGAGCACTCCCTAAAGTTACAAGTTCATTATGAGGTGCTGTTGGTTCAGAAAGCAACATTAAGAATCAGTCCTGATCTGATCCTACATTGCCCTCAACTTTCTGTCACGTGGTCAAACATTTGTATGACTTGACAACTATTTTAAGAAAAGCTATGTTTACAGTAACTGAAAACCCAGGGGGTTACTTAGGGGAAAATCACTGCTCGGAATTTCTTGCTTCCATGCTAGTTTAGCCAGTTCTCCTACTTCCATCCCACAGCACAGCGCTTTATGTTTGGAAGTTACCCAAGTCACTGCTTCCAGAAATTGCCCTGCGGCTTTAGAAGTCCCAGAGCACACTGGTATGAAGTTTGTTAGGACGATATATATGTGGTTGCCCCCGGATGTCAACGTGAAGTTACTGAACTTTGGAAGGTTAAGTTGGAACAAAACAAATTTATTTTTTCTTGCATGCATAAGCTTTAAAAAAGGAAACGCTATGAGAAGAGTGGTACAGTAATGCTAATCTACACTGCAGATCCGCATCTCCCTTTTACTTTTCCTTTTTGAAATCTTAAATGAAGGCTATGTATTTTACTTGAGAAAATTCACAGTAAATGAAAGCAGTATCTGCTTGCACTCAACATGCTTTGGCAGATACTTCTGAGGGGAAACACAAGGCTATGGCAGCCATAAAAAACAGAAGGCGATTTCAAACCCACATCTGAAATTCTGGCCTGCAAATGCTGCAGAGTAACAAACCACTTCCAAAAGGAGTCCTGAATCCAAACATACAGATAGCACAAACATGATTAATATCCAAATTAAATAAATGGCAACATAATTTATACCTTTGTTACCATGCAGAAGTTCTGGTGGCATGTTATTTAAAAAAAAGCCTTTTTTCCCGCTATTTTTCCCATCTTGCTTGTCTCCCTTTCAGGAGCTCTGTAAGAGAAACATTGAGTAGGTAACTGAAGAACAAAAAAAAAGCCAAACTCAGATAAATCTTAACTGCTCGCTGTGCTTCAGCTGTGGCCTAAAAGGCCCCTTGAGGCTCCTGTATCGTGCTGAAGCTGAGCTCAACACGTTCATCTTGGGAACTGGGTGTCATAGACCCCTTTGCTAAACTACCCAGCTCCAAAAGCAGTCGGGGGAAAAAAAATAAAATTAGAAAAATCCCTACACTAGGACCGACAGAGCTCCACTGACCTGCGACCCGTGCTCTGCGCAGCAACGTCCTTCAGCCCCCGCTACCTCCCCTGTCCCCAGAGAAGAGCCCCACGGTCGAGAAAATGGTTCTGCCACCCAGCTCGGGGCACCCGAGGTCTGCCGCCTCCGCTGAAACGTGGAAGGGGAACATCATTTCAGTCCAACACGCTATCGACTCAGCTGCACAGGCCTGCGACTCGCAGCGCCCGGAGAAGACAAGCGAGCGGGTCAAGGATCCCGCGTCCGCCGGGGAAGAGAGCGCGGCGCTGGGGTGGCCGCGCTCCCCCGGCCCGCTGACCGTCAGCGCCCGGCCGGGCCGCCCCCCGCCCTCGGCCAGACTGACAGGACGCCCGGCGGCGCTGAGGA